CTCCAACTCATGGAGACCCCTGAGGTGTCAGAGTGGAACTGTGCTCCATAGGGTTTTCAATAGCTGATTTTTTTCAGAAGTGGATCGCCAGACCTCTCTTCCAAGGTGCCTCTGAGTGGACTTCTCAGTAGAGGCTGAGCACATTAACTGCTTGCCCCACCCAGGGACTCCTAAACAAGTATAAATTGAATGTGTTATGTATCAGGTACTGTTGTAGGCACAGGAGGATATAAGACAGTCTCTGACCTCATGGAGTTCACATACTAGTGGGGAAGACGGCAAACAAACAAATAGGTAAATAATATCTACCTTCAGGGATTTACCTTTAGGAAACAGAATAGATGAACAGTACAAAGCTATGCCCCATGAATACAAAATAGAGTGGCATAAAGCTGTAGTCTATAATATTTAATCACTTCCCAGCTCTAAAACTGTAGTAGCTCATAACTCTAAGTCTATACATGTGCACAGTGTGTTTATCTTGGAAGCTTCCTGGAAGAAAGGAAGATTACTAAGGGTGGAGAGATGAGGAAGATAAGGAGGGCTTCCCAAGGAGGCATTACACACAGAAAGACAAGAGCCATTCAAATTCTTAGAGTGAAAGAAGCCAAGGCTTGGAGAAGAGAATGATGCGGGCTCCCATGAATCCACCAGGAAACAGCCTCCTAGGACAGAGGCCAGCCTGGGGGTGATGCCAGCACAGCTCGAGATTGGAATGTGTTGTCTCACTCTCAACAGGCCTTGGGCTGCCCTACCAAGACTCTCTGCCCTGACATCAGGAGTATCTCACAGATGCTTGAGATACCTATCCCTTGCCTCTCACCTGGGGGGCAGTACGAGGGCTGGTATGGCTCTTTCACCACTAACAATGTGTGCCACAGTCAAAATAAAAAAAAAAAAAAAACAGAACTCTGAGTACCACCAGTCCTTCCACTGCCCTTTCCCTTCCTTCAGCTGCCCAGCGTGGTTTTTCTCTAATATCTGAACCTCTGGGCACGCCAGTCCCTTGAGTATTTGCCTTTGCTCCCCACCCCCACTCCGTGCTAGGCACTGTGCATCTGGCAGAAAATCCACTCAGTTCATCCCTGGGCCCCGCGTCCCTAGTCACTGTTTGCCAACCTGAGCAAACTAATCAACGCTCTTCCAGGAGCCGGTCAAAGGCCCTTTGTCTGCAAGCCCTCCTTCTCCTCCCCTTCCCCTGGAATGAACTGTTAAACAGACTCAAGACAAACGCTCCCAGGGAGCCAACAAGCACTTGAGAATCCGCAGCAGCAGGTGGTAGCATCTGTGCTTATCTAACTTCTACCCTGTTAATCTCCTCCTCTTTTCTGCTCCCTTCTTAATTTCATCCCCCACTCCAAAAATTTCCCCCGAGTTGGAGAAGGGAGGGTTGGGGTGAGCTCAACAAAGACGCCCGCCATGTTAACTCAGAAGCGGCTGGAAGAAGTGGTGGGAGGT